TCTTGATATCTTACCATATCTCCTACACAATTGTATGATGATAATGATAATGATCCACAAGTAGAGAGGGAAAGCAAACTGGAGCCATTGTTTAGCATAACTGTCCATACCATTGTAAAAACATATCTTAAACCCAAAGTCTAAGTTAATCCATGATATGACTTGACTCAAGACTGGTAATGCTCCTTTCCTTGAAAAGACTGGCTCGTATAACTTGACAATGTTAGCATAGAACAATAGACCATTGAGTGTACACACTGATACTGTTAAATTGAGAGCAATCAGTAGAACCACAAGTAGTACACCCATCACTGCAAACAGAGCAATCCAAACTATCATCATGTAATTATCATGACACTGTCCACACTTGTTTGATCCCATTAGTAGACTATATCCCTCTGTACATGATCCACACATTCTGTGTCCTCTATTATCTACACATTGAGTATCAGTGTCATTCAATTTGAAGGTAACAGGATTAGGAGAACAATAGAGGAGACAGTCCTCATTGATAATGCATGCATTAGGATTGGTTGCATTAGCATTGAAAGGTGTACTGGTATCATATGTTCCAATCCACAATAGACCATTGTGTTTAATGTTTAGATTAGTTATATTACATGTCACATTCTCTCTCGAAACACTTTGACTGCAAGCACAGATAGATCTACCTTGTGAGTTATCTACACTAAAACCAATGGGACACTCATTAACAATGTAATCATGATAAATAAAATCAGATGTTGTAGTAATCCCAAGCCGTACCAAAAATAGTATGGTATGTACTACATGACTGGGAGGATGGTTTGGTTTGTATTCAACCAGTGAACAATTAGAACCAGGCTTAGATCTAGCATATACATAATCGACTGTATGAGCACTGTCTGGAGTGAGTCCATCACTTATTTCCAATTTACCATCAGTGACATTTAGTGATCCAAAGTAGTCATAGCCTAACAAAGCTATATGAAACCTTAGTGCTTGACCTGCATAAATCTGTTTGTAACCTGGTGGAACATTACAAAAAGATATTTCCCGTACATAACCTGTTGAACTTATGTTTGGGTTTGTCAAGTTGAAGCGATTGCTTCCACTATCAGTATATCCATATATATCATCACCAAATATTTCAGCACTATTATTTATTAATGTCAGAGGTATATTTGGTGCCTCTAATGTTATGCCACTATATGATGTCTCTTCAACATAGATCCCTCCACCTTTATAAGAAACATGATTATCAATAAACTCCAAGTTAGCTGATGATGTTAATATCAATTGTGATGAGTCATTTATTGCTAATCCTCCTCCGACTACTCCAGTATTGTGTTTAAATGTTAATTCATTCTCAATTGTTACTATTGATAAGCTAAGTAACAATCCTGTTGAAGTACCGTTAGCAACAGTAACATTACTAAGACTAATGGAAAAACTGTTGAATATTACGTTTGCTTTATTTCCAATAAGTTCAGTATCTGTAATATTGATTTGGACTGATGTCAAGAATTTTTCATTAATGAATAAGCCTGTTCTTGTGTTGTTAGCTATTAAACACGACTTCATAATAATAATAATGAAGTGATTGCTAAGTGTTCTAGGTAAGTATGCATCTTTTGATATCATAATTCCCCACCAATTATCACGAAACTGACTGTCCTCAATTACAAAAGTAGAAACTAATTGGATCTCAGGAAACTTGCACTCAACTGATTTCAGGTTTTCACTAAGAATAATTAAAAGGGAGTAGATATCATTAAGTTTTGATCGAAATGATGCATTCTTAATATGAAAAGAAAAAAGGCTATCACCCAAAATAAAATGAGAGTGACTATCAAGTATATTATAATAGTTATAAAAAATGGCTGACAGATTGTATGAAGCACCATGATAAGTAGATAGCCTCATCACACTGTAATTCAATAATGTGACATTAGTCACTATTAGTGAGTAGTGAGGTAGTTCAATGCTACATACTGGAAGAGGTTTGTATGTAATATCTACACCATAATAATAGAAAATTGAGGATGATACTTTAAC